GATATTCAGTTTTGCCAGCACCATTTGTTAAAGAGGCTGTCTCCGCCCCATTTAATGGGTTTTGGGCCTTTGTCAAAGATCAGTTGTCCATAGATGGATGGGTCTATATCTGGACTTTCTATTCTGTTTCCAGGAAATGCTTTTGAAGAGAACATCCAGTGTCCTGATGACCAACGACAGCAAAGCAAAAGTGATGCCATTAATACTAGTGTTCTGGTGCAAAGAGGAGAATTTAAACAAAATATGTCAGGCCAATCTGTTTTCTCCAGTACATTGAATGGTTCTGGGAAAGAATGTAGCTTAGATATTATTAAACAGGACTTTCCTGACCAGAAGAGGGTGTGTTCTTTGGATTACTCTATGTAGCTAGCGGTGACTCACTAAGACCTGGCTGGTTTGTGTCCTCAGAGCAGCAACTGGATGGTGGTAGGAAACACAAATGAAAACTTGTGCAAGGCAGGGGCCAAGGATCTCCATTTTCTAAAGAAAATTACCTTACATGGCTTCAAGCAAGTTGATATTTCTTTCACCCACCTGTGGAAGTTTTCAGAAAAACTCAGAATAAACCTCATTATACAATTCATCTGTGTTTTAACCTGTCTATAATACAAGTGCAAATGGATGTATATTCTGCTTTCAAGAAATGGGTGTTTCTTTGGCCAGTGCCTGCTGTATGCAGGGAAAAGAGCTTCATTGAAGCAGATAGCTAGTCTTCCAAGTGGAGGAAAGATATTGCCTTTCTTGAAACTGAGCAAAGACCAAAAAGAAAAAAAAAAGTGCCAATGTTCATTTGAAGATTCTATTACCAGTAATCTGGCCTCCTTGAGAATAACTGGATAAATATTTTACTATTGCAAAAGGGCTGTCCTTATATTCGGATTATTGGCTTGTTATGTTCTGGACAGATCAAGGCAGGGGATTGCACCTAGGAAATCAGTAAAGAACTTGGAGGGAATATAGCACGAGGTGTGGAAGTTCTGCCCAGGATGGTGAGCACAGCAGCACTGGTGGAGTTAACTTGTCCCTTAATTTCTAGTGTAGTTTTTTAAACAAAACACTGAAGAAGCCACGTGGAAGCTCCATCTGCTTACCTCCTTAAAGAAACGGTTTTCAGATTATGTTCCCCCCTTTTCAGTGGTAGGAGAAAATGAATTTGGAAAACTGGATATCAAAGCCTTGTTCTTGTAAAATACCCAGAACAAGTGATATTGAACTTGGATAGCAAAATTCTGATCTTGGTGTACCTGCTGTAAACTAGCTATACATATCACCAGAAGAGAATGATTATCAGCTACAGAATGCAGAAAACTGAAAAATCTCATTAGCTGCAACTTTGCAAACTTGTTTGGCCTGCTGAAATGTAATGACTCCACTGAACTAAGCCACAGGGCCTAATAGTGGAAATGATCCTGTATGAATACCTACTCAATATCAAGCTCCTTGCATATATAAAGAAATTATATAATGCACAAAAACTGTCTTTTAAACTAATTATGCTATGAAGATATCTCCCTGTGCTTTTGGTTGATCATGAACAGATAGTTGTTGTTATGTGCCATAGAGTCATCTCTGACTCATAGTGACCCTATGTACAATAGAACGAAACACTGCCTGGGCCTGTGCCAGCCTCACAATCCCTTCTATACCTGAGCCCATCACTGCAGCCACCATGTCAATCCATCTTGTTGAGGGCCTTCCCCTCCTTCGTTGACCCTCCACTTTACCAAGCATGACATCCTTCTCCAGATGAATGGTCTCTTCTGATAACATGACCAAAGTAGGTGAGATGAAGTCTACCGATTCTCACTTCCAAGGAGCATTCCAGCTGCACTTCTTCTAGGACAGATTTGTTAGTTCTTTTAGCAGTCCATGGTACTTTCAGCATTCTTCGCTAGCACCACAACTCAAAAGTATCAACTCTTCTTCGGTCTTCTTTATTCATTGGCCAGCTCTCACATGCATATGAGGCAATTAAAAATACCATGACTTGGGTTAGGTGCATCTTAGTCTTCAAGGAGATATCTCTGCTCTTCAGCACTTGAAAGAGGTCTTTTGCAACAGATTTGCCCAATGCAATAAGTCTTCTGATGTCTTGACTGCTGCTTCCATTGGTGGTGATTGTAGAACCAAGTAATATGAAGTCTTTGACAACTTCAATCTTTTCTCCATTTATTGTGATGCTGCTTATTGGTACCGCTGTGAGGATTTTGTTTTTTTTATATTAAGGTGTAATCCATATTGCAGAGTACAGTCTTTAATCTTCATCAGTTAGTGCTCTAAGTCATCCTCACTTTCAGCAAGCAGAGTTGTGTCGTCTGCCTATCTCAGGTTGTTAATGAGCCTCCCTCCCAATCCTGATGCCACATTCTTCTTCACATAGTCCAGCTTCTTTGATTATTTACTCAGCATGCAGATTGAATAAGTATGGTGAAAGATACAACCCTGACTCACTCTTCCTGATTTTAAACCATACAATATGCCCTTGTTCTGTTCGAAGGACAGCCTCCTGGTCATGAACAGATACAAGTGCTGAAAAACAAATTGGGAAATTGTATTTTGTGCACTAATTACAAACTTACTTTTTAGATGCGTTTTTACCCTACCAAATATTAGCCAATCCCAGTTTTCCATCTATAAAGTTTCTCTTACTGAGATGAAAGACTGCTAATGGAAGAATTTGATAGATATAAATTCAGTTTTACTTGTGTGTTTAACTTTTTTCTCATCACACTCAGAGTTGTTCCTCAATTCCCATATCCTTCCAATGAGTGTTTGTATTTAGAGATTGTATACCTTTTTGGATTTTTGGAAACTAATAGAAAATGTTTTTATAACTTAATAAAACTTAAATTTTATACTAATTGGACTTCGCTTTTATTTTAGTTTAGTTTTCCTTGACACTAAAAAAAGAGAAACAAAACAAAAAAAAACTCCATCTTACAGTTACAAACAACCTCACAAGGTTAAAAAAAGATTATCATTTGGATTTTATCAGGCTTTCTGTACTTTCATTTTTTTCAGTTTTAAGTTTTTCAAGTTTCTATAATTTTTATTACTCACTATGCTTAAATATTATATACCTGAAGAGCATTCTCTCTCCTTCCTGTTTTTTCTTTGTTTCAATTTTTATATAAGTTTACTTCCCACTTAAACTCAAGAATTTTAACCTTGAATTGGTTGCAATATATTAACAAAAACCTCATAGAAAATGTTACTAATGCCAAAGAATTCACAATAGGATTAATGTAAAATAGAAGAAAAATTTAAAATAAGAACTGTGTTTGTCATTATTTGAACATGTTGATTCCCTATAGTATCTACTGCTATATTGAAAACACTCCTACTTGGTTTCTTTTCAGCTAGAGAGAAGTAATAGATAAGTTTAGTTTCTGTTTTGGCCTGTCAAAAAATCAAGAACCCTTTATTTAGCCACAGAAATAATGAGTACCTTTTTGGAAAGAAAGGAAGAAAGAAAGCTTAGATAAATTAAATACATTTTGAGAAATAAAAAGATTAAATTTTTTTAAAAGACAAACTACTTTGCTGCTAATTATACTGTTTGAAATATTTTTTGATTGTTAAATCATATTTCTGTCTTCTAAATTTTGTCCTTCAGATTCCAAAAGTTGATTCTAAATGTGACGAGCCTTGGTCCGTCCCTGTTGCCTGAAATTTGGGGTTCAAAGACAGAAGCTGATTTTCTGATGGATTTAAAGACTCAGCAAGTCACTAATACAAACATCTTTAAAATGTATGGAAAATTGGAGGAAATTCTTAACTCTTTTCATTTTTACAAAGTATGTTTGATCTCTGATTATATGTACAAGCAATTATCTTCCTGGATCTTCAACAAAAATATGACATTTAATTCTGTCAATTTAGCATTTTTAATTGTGTGCAGAAGTTCCATGCTGATTTTATAAGAAAATGCAGAGCTCCTTAGAAAATGCATACTTGGATCATTAAGGTTCCTATTCTGAGAAAAGTGTATTTTTGTAGACAGGAGGACAGAAAGAATTTCGTGATTGTTTACTTGTTTGTGAAGTTTTCATTTAAGGTGCTATGCCTAAAAATTGTTTTGATTAAGTTTTTATCATTAGTCTGTATTAAATATTGGAGTATAACAAGGAGGGGTCGCTATGAGTCAGGTCTGACTCCACAGGCACATAACAACAACAACATAATGAGTGATAATCTGAGGCTTACAATGAGTGACAATCACATTGATTGATAATCACATTGATAAGTATAATGAGTGACAATCACATTGCTCATTCGTTGGTAATCCACTTGATTTTCCAGGACTCTCTGTTATTGAGGACTTACTGATTCACTCAATAGAATGGTGGAGAGTCACTTCCTAAGATGATTTATTAGAGGGGAATTTAAGGAAACAATAGTTTTGTGGAAATAACCACCACCACTTCAACAAAGTGATGTTTAGCCTAATTATTCTATTCATTGAATTTTTCCCTATGTGTGTGTTCAAAAGGAAGATTGAAAGTATTTGATTAGCAGATTACGTATCTACTGTGTTAAGGTGAGAATGGCCAAATGATTGCAGTCAATTATTAAGTTCAAAAGGCACAAACACTTAATATTTTTAGTATCCAAAGCACTCTAGTTTATACATATGCAAACTTTTTGTAGCCTATGATTTTCAACAAGCTGATTTTATACCTAGCACTGCCATAAATATATTCAACTCAATGTATCTTTATTGAAAATTTCCATTCATTTTCTCTCACCTTCTTCTCTTCAGCTGCCCCTCCCTAATACATCTACCATTTTCAACCAGGAATAGATCATATGGGGGCCAAGTGAAGGGTACAAAGAGTGGCAGACAAAGCAGGAATTAGGGGAGAAATTTATATATTATGCAGGTTCTCGAGAATTTTTGTTGCAACTATACTCAGTCCCATCAAGTTGATTCTGACTCATAGCAGCTGTGTAGGACAGAGAACTACGCCAGAGGGTTTCCAAGGCTGTAAATCTTTACTACAGAAACAGACTGCCTTTATCTTTCTCCCACAGAGTGACTGGTGGATTCAAACTGCCAACCTTTTGGTTAGCAGCCAAGTGCTTTAGCACATGTGCCAACATAGCAATCAAAATAACAATAACCAATACTTGCATGCCACTTTCCAATTTCCAAAGCCTTTTCACATCCTACACCTGCTTTGGGTCCCCTAGCAGCCTGGCAAGTGTGCCTCTGTGTATGCAGTGAAGTCTTGCTTTGTACTATTTTTTGAACCACTGTAAGCAGGTGATGCAATG